ATGCTGCTTGTGGGGTGGTAATATGTTGCCAGTATAAAACCTATTGCATTAGAGATGGTTAGCTCACAATTAAGAAGAAGAATTTGATAGAAGAAAAAAACCCAGTGTCTGTTAGATACAGTGCTAAGTCAAGGCTCAAGTCTTGACGCCGACGCTATTTTAGCAAATGCTGAGACAGGGCTTGCAGACCTCATTTTACACCCACTCACTTGAATATGTGAGACAGGCTGGAAATTATTGTGAAATGCTGGCTTTTAACTCCCAAGGAGCTATGCCTGCAACATTCATAAGGAAAAAACCAAAACATAGTTCAATATTTAATTTAGTGAGGTTGTACTCACTGATACCCTAAAATAGTCAAAGTGAGAAAATTACAAATTAAGGATTAAATAAACCTTGCAAAATTGAGCAGTGGCAGTTTACAGGAATGTTAAAATGAATGCTGCTGTCACACACCATCTGCTCCTTTAGGCACACATATTAAAGATAGTCTTGACCTGTCTAATCCTGCAGTATCTGTAACTGACTTCCAAGCTTTATCGCAGTGCAAGGCTGGTTTACTTAGTGACTGAATCACAGCTGCGTGGCAGAGGAGTCTGCACACAGCAAGCGGTTGGGATTTTCCAGGAGATGGTTTGATTTCCTGCTCTCCTGTTAATTACATGCTTCCGAGAAACATGTAAACATCTTCCCTAAGATATATTACACTCATGCAAACTGCATGACCCCTTAAGCCCTGTGATGCAACGTCTGTTATGTATGATCTGTTCTCTAGGGAATATCACACATTTGGTCCTAAAAGATTCCTTGGCATTATTATTTTTGTACGGTTGAAATTTGCAATACAAGTTTTTTTTTTTAAAGATCTAGCGCAGGGATTCCTGAAGGATGTGCTGCCACAGGAGCCTGCACACTTTGCTCGCAGCAACTGAGTTTGCTCCTACCCAAAATGAGTGGTCCCAGGGAACAATATGTGTACAGGCCCACAGATTGCAGAGGAAAATGGGAGGACCAGCTTCTTTTTTTTTTTCTTAGAAGTCTCCTATCTAATATATCAAAACTTTAGGAAACAGTGATTTCTATGGAGCTGCTGCTCAGAGTACAACAAAAATGAGCTGTGTGGAATTTTTCCCCCCCCAGTATTACTTTTCAACATTTCATGATAACTTATTTCTAAGCTGCATTTTGAGAGATATTTACTGATTTCTCTTTGTGTCTATATTGCTCCTGGCTTCTATAATACTGTTTCTGAATTAGTGTAATCTTAAATAATTTTTCCAAAGGAGGAAGTTATCTAAAAATGACAGTAGAGTTTGAAAAATTAAGTAAGCAAACCAAAATAGGAGCATGGGTACATGGGCAATACCAATGGCAGATTAACTGCTGATATCCAAAATGTTCCTGACTCTCATTATTACTCACCTGTTATTTGGACTTACGTTGTCTGAATGCCTTCAGTATGGTAAAAGAGCTATTTGTTGCCATTTGAAGTTCTGCAGGAACATACCAAATAATAGCTTAGTTCCTGACAAGAAAAGGCCACAGCCATGAGAAAGGTGATGATAAGATTTCAGGTATTTTCCAGCTTTCAGAAGCTATGTGCTGGGCAGGACACAAAGGCAAACGGCTGCTGATGGATGTCTGTGCCAGGATGGGGCCCCTGTGTTACATTTCATTTCTCAACAGAAGACAGTGATCCTAGAAACAGGCGATCTAAAGATAGTTCTTAGGTCAGTGGTGAAATGGATCCTTACTTCAGAGCATACAAACACCACCTCTGTGACATCAGTCAGTTACTAGTATATTAAGCTGACTTCATGTTGTGAAACGCTTATCACTGTGATAAAAGACGATTTGCTTAAATGCATCGTAATGAACAAGTGTATCCAGAGTTGGTTAAAAAGCTGCATGTTACAATTATCTCCAGCAAAAGTTAGAGAGAGAAAAAAAAAAAAAGCAGACAAGCTTATACTGGCAGCACTTCACACACATGTCCTCGTTGGAGTTTTCACATGCAGCTGCAATAGCTCTTTGGCTTCAATTTGACCTTTGCGGATGTAGCCTTAGAACGGGGTAAATAGGTCATATAAAATAAATCACTGCTTTTCAGTAGTGCTTCACAGGGCATTATATATTGCTGTAGATGTAAGACTATTAAATGAGTGCATCAGGCTATGAAAATAGTTTTTCATCATAAGCTTCATCTGGTGTGGAGCTTGGAGACCATTATATATGAACCCCAGGGGAGAAGAAATTAGCTTCCAAGATTTTGACTGCAAAATGCTAAGTCTAAGTCATCAGAATCTCAAGCTGTTTCAGTGACCAAAGTTATTTTTATTTTTGGAAGTGGATTATTGATGACACATCCCCACAGCCCTCGGCACGCAACCTCAGCTGTCTGGACATTCCCCGCTGCCTGGCTACAGAACGCATCTGATGCTCTTATATGGTCTCTTGGCTGGGTCTGTAGGTCTCATAGCTTTCCAGCAGCGAAGGGGTTTGTCCCCACTCACAGGTTAACTGGTCTCCTATGTTACAATACAGACACTGGGGAAACCTGAACTTGGGAGGTCATCGTCGGTTAGACTCAGATAGCCTTGGAAATTCTTCCTCAGTAACATGTCTCCCTGAGTAGGTATCTTTACATTCAGTGTCCTGTCCCTCTGCCTGACCAGAGAGCACAGCACCCACACAGTGTGACAAGGAACAACACAGCTACAGCCCACGCTTCAGCTGGCTGTTCAGAAATTAGGAGGATCAGTACCGAAGACTCTGAAGTGGACAATTTCCTCTCCAGGAGGATGCCAGATCCTTTTTTTATGTAACTCATATTTATGATTTTAAAGTCACTACTTCAAATCTGATTTCCAGCAAGAAAAACACAGCTGCTTGGCTGCTGGTTACAGAGTATAACTAACATAGCAGCACCTGGAATTTACTGAGAAGGCAGGATCAGGAAAAGAATGGTTTGGGGACCCAGTATTCCTAACAGAAGAAAACTGATTCTCTGAATCTTATGCCATTTAGATATTCAAAGGGAAAAAAATAATCAAGATAGTCTAACATCTGTCCTTAGCACAAGCTGCTTCCATATCCACACACAATATTGAATTGCATAGATGTGACAAGACCAGTGCCAGTGTAACGGTTCTTTGGTTTACCGTTACCTAGCGACACTTCAACAAGACCCTGTTTCCTAGATATCCACATTGTTCTCTTTGTCACATGGGCAGTGTAGGTGACAACTTCCATACATGCTTGTAAACTACATTCTAAAAAAAAAAATTAAAATCAGCTGTTGCTGGAACCTCGCAGGCATCCCATGAAGAAACACCTCCACAACTACACCAGAGAGCACTGAGAGGTTAAAAACAAAGTTTTGAGAAAAGCAGCAGATGCGGCAGTCCGAAGTAGTATAGCAAAGAACATAGCCCAGGTAGGAGAGAAAGAAAAATTGAAACTTAGTTTCAGTTAGCAGATTAAAACACTGAGAACTCATTTTAATTAAGCCCAGCAATGGAAGAAACCACCGAAGAATAAAAAAAAAAAAGTAAAAAATAATAAAACTGAGTATACTTTGTCAGGTTATCTTATTTAAGGAAACTAAATGCAGAATATCTTCAAGAACTGCTATACTGGAAGCACAAGCAAGATTAAGTACCCAGGCCTTTATGCTACCCCATGGGAAGCGAGATGAACTCTCCTTACAGCATAAGCTGTTCCAGCCTTTACAAACCCTTTAGCTGAAGCAAAATTCCTGTTCCTCGGGGTCTTAAGTCATGTGAAATAGCTCAGGGCATGGTTTCTGGATAATAGGTCATCACTTCAATTGATAAATACGTAGGTAAGATAAATCCCCTTCATGCTTTTCAGCTTGCAGTACCCAAGAGAATGAGACACGTGAAAGGACATGTGTCCTCTTAGCTAAGAGCTATGAGAACACCCTTTGTCTTTTCCTGGTATTTGAGACAAGAGCATCAGCACAGCTGTTTCTGAATGAGTCTTGCTTGCTTAAAAGTCATCTTAGCAATGGAGCTGAGGACATCGTATGATCTTTTTACAAGTGAGGAGGGCTTTAGCACATAATAGGGTTTTACCAAGTTAATTCTTGGAATTACTGTGCTTACATTCTCACATGCTGCACAACAGTAAAGGTATGCAGGTTTTCTGGCCATGTATTACTGTTAATTAGTACCAGCACAAACACTGTAGCTTAGAGACAGATTCCTTTGCACAAGCTGCCTTCAGCAGAGGTGAAAAATATGCTTAATTCCCACTTACTGCCAGCATAAAAACTTCACAAACTGGGATGCAAACTTTGAGATTAAAATATTGCTAAGAAACTATCACTACTAAAAGGAAATAAAAGCTGGGCATGGTATCTGCTTAAGAATCATAACTGTTCTCTGCTGACCATTAGGCAATTTTAAGAGTCTTCCCTAACCATTTCTTTGGCTAACTGCTTACACCACTCAGATCCCACTTCAAAAACCTGAGATAAGGGACTTGGTACAGCTGCATTTTAAAAGACACCAGCACATACTGCTAGGAGCATTTCAGAACTGTAACACTGCACAAGCTGGTATGAAAATAAGTTTTCCAGCTTGAATTCCAATTGCAAATAAAACACAATACATCTGCATTTGTAAATGCGTAATAGAAATGTCATTCTTCACAAAAATAATTTGAGGTATTTTTTCTATATAGCAATCTTTATTTCAAAATGGCATTTATTACAAAAATGTAAAAATCCAGCTAGATCAGAAACATTGAGATTATTTTCCTGGACTATCAAGTCCATGGATCTTTGTCCCCGTATCCTTTTCCTCACAATATTTCCCCCCCTTCCAGTCTGATTACACAGGTGCAAAACGCGCCTTAAATGGCCTGGAATAGATAAATACATTGACAAAGGCAAAAGCTGTAAAGCTAAACGCATGCAAGAAGTTCTATCAGGAAGAAACCCTCAAAAATAAACATAAGTGTAAAGTAGAGATAATCTGCAGGTATCCAGGGATTAGCTCAGTCATCCTTGTCTTTTGCCCCGTGTTTCAGGATGCGCGTGAATTCAATGTAGTTGAAATTGCCCTTTTTGTCGATGGGTGCCTCTCTGTACAGCTCGTCCACCTCTTCGTCTGTGAACCTGTCCCCCATGGTGGTCAGCAGCTCCCGCAGGTAGTCCTCCTGAATGAACCCTGGGACACAATATAAGGGGATGACATAAGATAAAGGAGTTTTTACATCTATCTGCTAATAGATGGATGATAATATCTTTGAATTATTTGTTTCAGTTAAGACCACCTACAGTCTTTGTTGCCAAATGAAAAGCCATTAAAGCCTATTACTATAATTGCCAAATAATTGCAAGCATTCAATTAAGTCAAACCTCTTAGTTGATTTACATGGCCTCACTACTTCAAGTAAAGGCCGTTCTGTGGTTTGCCAGTGTTGTTTCAAAGAATATATGAATTTGTCAGTATACATATTGGACCTTCTTCCCAATGTACTGGGCTGTACTCCCAGTAGTACTGGGTGCCTCCTAACTCACAACTCGACATTTGGCACAAAGGGGATCCATTTGTATAGAATGTTCCTAATGAAAACCACTAAAAAAAAATATGATGGAACTTGACCACCGATATCCAACAAGCGCATGAAACACAAGGAAGTTTGAAATATTTCAAAGATTTTAAATTGATCTTTAATCAGTGACAAAACTCAGATTTACTAAATTGGTTGCAAAGAATACGGCGTTGGCCTTGGTTATTAAACAAGCAGCCTTATATATAACTTCTGTCACCACTCTCATGAGTCACACAAGGCTCTTCTTGTGTTAATTTCCTTCTCCTTTAAGTGCAGCTTAACATACAGAAGGTGGAGAGAAGTTGCTGACAGAAAACGAGTTCTTCACAAGAGCACAACTTTGAAGACAAGGATCCCCATTAAAAAAGTGGCCCCAAAGCCGAATTTTAAGTTTAGAATAATTTAGGACCCTGGTTCCCAATCAACATATTTCCTGCCTACCCCATTTCTGTCTTGAACAACAGAACCAAAGTGCCAGAAGTTTGGGGCTTGATGTTTTGTAGTTTTTGAAAAGGTAATTTCAGCTGCTGAGGATACATGGCATGATTTTAAGTTTGCAGAAATCAGGATTTTCAGAGTTGAAAAAATTCATCACCACTTTTATGCATACCAGTATTTGCTGTTATAAAAATAAGTAAAAATAATACATGTACATGGTTATTTTACCCACGTACCTGTTGCTTCTTCATCAAAGCAAGCAAAAGCATTCCTGATTACATCTTCCGGATCAGTGCCATTTAACTTCTCACCAAACATTGTGAGGAACATGGTGAAGTTTATGGGGCCTGGAGCCTCATTCATCATGGCATCGAGGTATTCATCCGTTGGATTCTTTCCTACAAATAAAGGCATCATATTTAGCTTAACTTTCAAACTAAGAGAAAGGAATCTCAACAGCATAATACAGAGACACCTCTCATAAGCTATCCCAAGCTCCCTATTTTAATTCTAATGGCACAAATGTGCTTGGCAGCCACCAACAGAAAAGTGACCTTACCAAGGGAGGCGAGCATATCGTGCAGGTCCTCTTTGTCAATGAAGCCGTCCCTGTTCTGGTCGATCATGTTGAAGGCCTCCTTGAACTCCTGAATCTGCGACTGATCAAACATTGCAAATACATTGGAAGTGGCACGCTGAGGCCGCTTCTTGGTGGTCTTCGTCTTTGCCCTTTTGCTAGACATGTTGGCTGTCGGTTCTAGGGAGACAGAAACATAGCCATGATTTAGCCTTATTGAAATCAGATTACAAGTCCCTGGGGGAGACATGGATAAAGAAATATCCAGTTCACATTATAAGCAAATACCCCAAAGCACACATTTATTTTAATATCTCCTGCTGTATTCTGTTGCATTTGGAATTCACTTGCTATTAAGCATAATATCTTTCAGGATTCAGGGTCTGGCACTATAAGCCAACAGTAGGCTCCATTAAAAAAATAAATCAAATCATAGTTCTTGAAATGAGAGTATGTAGTGCTTGTATTGCTGATTTAATACTCTCTCTGCACCTTCCACAAATTAAGATGACTACATACTTAGCAGTTTAGGAGGCACTATTGATGTATTACATAGAAGGATATGGGCTGCTAACCCAGCATAGTATGTAGTGATTAAATAAATCAAACAGGATGCTAAACTAACATTTGGGAGGTAAAAAAGGTATTTTAGGTTCTTAATGGCATTTAGAATAGCTGCTCTTAAAAGAGCACTAGGTCTCAGGACGCAGAATGACCCTGACAAGAGCCTAATGTTTTTGTGAAGATCACTGGATGGTGCCGGAGCTGGGAGAGATCTCCCAAAGAACTCCTATGAGAGCTTTCATCAGTCAACTAGAGGATTGTGTGTGTTAGAGAAAGGACACTGACGTGGTTCAAAAGCACTACATTGCTATTCTCTTACACAGTGGAATCATCACACAATACATATGCAAATGCAAGCATACTCTTTTAAAAAATGAATTAGTGACATAATTTAAAAGAAACAATCTTCAGAATTAAAAAACTATTATCAGCCTTTTAAAACATTTATATATTCTCATAGAATCTTTATATAGTTTCATGTATCACAAATATACTAGTTTCATCACTTCCCTTGAGCTGTCAAAAGAAATAAAAGTGCTAGTTTACATGTTATAACACCAATAATCAGGGTACAAGTGAAGCTTTCAAATTAACTGCTGCTTTTTAGCTGGGAAGATACCTTTAGTCTTCAACTATGGTTGATGGTACAAACACAAAAAGCTGAGTCATTCACTGAAACGCAAACAGAGACCTCAACACTGCTACTGGATCAAAGTAAAGTAGACCCTGTCTAATGTTGTTTTTCTAAAAGTCTCATACACCTCTATGATTTATTTTTATCTAATGCAAGCAATCCACACTGCTGAAATCCTTTATTGTGCCTAAAGCAAACGTTGTGCAAACCAGATTCCTTCCACCCTTGATTTTGAATTTTACAGGAAGCATCTGCAGCAAGTTTCCTGAAAGAGGATAAACTTAAGCTTCACCTGCAGTCACAAGAATGCCAACATTTTGAATTTAAACTAAGTATTAATTTTATAGCTTAAAACAGAAATGCAATTCTAATCAGTCATAGCACAGTTCTAATGATTTCTTAGATAGTTTGCCCAAAATTACTGTATTTTCTGTTAGAGTCCTAAAAAGCAAGACTGAAGTCCCTAACTTGGATTCATCCTTAAAAAAACAGGAAGTAAAATTAAGCAAAGTAACTCCCTTACATGGTCAATCAATCCAATATTCAGGCAAAAAAAGCAGTTAGGTTTTTTGGTTTCAATTAAAAGACAGACATTTTACCTTGCTTTGTATCAGACACAGGACATGCTGTACCAAGCATCTGGATCATAAAAGGATATTCCATGGTTACGTCCTTCTCAGTCTGTCTACAGACAGCGTTACTGATTTCCCCTGCGAACTCCACACATTTAAATCCTACGTGCATATACAACGTTCTTCTGACGTATTAAAAAAAACCTATTATGTCCCAAACTAAAAATAGCCTATGAAATGCAACTGCGCATCATTTAACAACACTGGAGTTCTCTTCATTGCATTCACTAACCACAAGCTATCTGAGATGTTTGGCCTCCAACGACACTTCAACAAATAAATCTGAACTCCTGACATCTAGTTATTTATGAAGACAGCTGACAATAAAGGTAGCTTGCTTTCAAGCTGCAGACAAGGGCTGTGCATAACTTCAGTCTTTTTCTTACCTCTGTAAAAACACTCATACAAGTTACTATTAAACTATGAATTATTGATTAGAAGTTCCACTACCCGGCATAAACAGTATCTGTTAATAACTGTTCTGTGAAGTAATTCATAGTTTTCAGGATATGGCCTATTCAAAGTAAACTAAAAAGTTTGGCCTGCAAGGCAGCGCTCCCAGCAAACCTCCACCTGCTATTCTCTCGGGTAGAATTCAATCCTAATCAAGATGAGGTGACCACAAAAACAGAGTAGAGCTGAGCGTGGCTACACACGGTGGGAAGAAAGCCCATTTCTTTTCTAATTCTGTTCTGAAGATTGCCCTATCAGAATATTGTACTAGAGAAGACAAAAAATTTGCCAACGCATCTACTGCTGTTTCCCCAGCCATGCTGGGGAGGCAGCCAGACAGAATACAGAAGGCACAACTCTTTCCCTTGAAGAAACCGGTCAGCCTGCATCTACAGAAACATTAGGTCTCACAAGACTGTAGCATTTCTCAGCCCAAGTTGGGTGCAGCTATGCCTGAAATGGTGAAAAATGGGCTGGATGACTGGGCCCAAGGAGTTTTGGTGACTGGAGTGAAATCCAACTGGCGGCTGGTCACAAGCGGTGTTCCCCAGCGCTCGGTATTGGGGCAGATCTGTTTAACACCTTTATCAATGATCTGGAGAAGGGGATTGAGGACACAGTAAGTTTGCAGAGAGCACCAAGTTGGGTGGGAGTGTTGATCTGCTTGAGGGTAGGCTCTCCAGAGGGATCTGGACAGGCTGGATCCATGGGCCAAGGCCATTGGTATGAGAGGTTCAACAGCACCAAGTGTCAGGTCCTGCGCTTGAGCCACAACAACCCCATGCAGCAATGCAGGCTTGGGGAAGAGTGGCTGGAAAGCTACATGGTGGAAAAAGACCTGGGGGTGTTGGTTGACAGCTGGCTGAATATGAGCCAGCAGCAGGCCCAGGTGGCCAAGAAGGCCTGTATCAGAAATGTTGTGGCAAGCAGCACTAGGGAAGTGATCATGCCCCTGTAACCAGCACTGGTGAGGCCCCACCTCAAATACCGTGTTCAGTTTTGGGCCCCAAGACAGACACTGAAGTGCTGGAGCACATCCAAAGGTCAATGAAGCTGGTGAAGGGTCTGGAGCACAGGTCCTCTGAGGAGCAGCTGAGGGAACTGGAGTTGTTTAGCCTGGAGAAAAGGAATCTGAGGGGAGACCTTATCGCTCTCTACAACTACCTGGAAGGGTTTGAGGTGGGGGTCGGTCTCTTCTCCCAAATAACAAGTGATAGGGCAAGAGGAAATGGCCTCAAGTTGTGCCAAGGGAGATTTAGATTGGGTATTAGGCAAAATTTTGTCACTGAACAGGTTGTTCAGCATTGGAACAGGCTGCCTGGGGAAGTGGCTCAGTCACCATCCCTGGAGGCATTTAACAGACACGTAGATATGGCACTTGGGGACATGGTTTAGTGATGGGCTTGGCAATGTTAGGTTTGCATTGGACTCAATGATCTTAAAGGTCTTTCCCAAGCTAAACGATTCTATGAAATACTGCACACAGCTCTGGGAAACTATTAGAAAGCGGGTGATAACTTCACAAGAATTTATCACCCCTGTTCAGAAGAACAGGGACATCAGTCCAGTTAGCCAGAGAGATCAATTTATGACAAAATTGTTCAAAGTGTTTAGATTAAGTGTTACCTCTCTGTGTACAGCAGCAGATGATGTAACAAGCAAGAACTAACCTCATTTGAGTCAAGCACTGAACCCAGTAATTTCAGAGAAAACAGAATTTCATCTGATAAATCCACCAGGTCATTTATTGAGGAAAAAAAAAAAGTCATGCTTCTATAATTGAAATACTGTAAGTATAGGCTGGAAATAGAAGAATTTCATAAGAGTGTAAAGTGGAAATACTTCACATTACATAGTACAAGTCATGACTAGCCTGCTGATAAATGCTATGATGCACTGAATGGTCTGGGTCTTGTTTTAAAAATTGTTCAAGAAGCTTTTAAATTAAGACCTTGCCTATAAAACTTACCATAAGTTATTTCCAAAAACATAACCTTTATTTAGGAAGATTTTCACATTTTTTTAAAAAAATAAACTGCACACACTGGCCCAGAGAGGTAATAACAGCACTGTGCTGCTTGTACACGTACATCCGTTTGTTTAGTTGAGCAACAGGTATCAAACTACAGAAGCAGAGAAAGTCATCTTATGCTCCTTACCTCTGGGAAAAGCAGAAACCCTGGAAGGAGATAAAACTGTCCAACTGAAGAGCTTCAGCCTGACAGTAAAAGATGAAAACTTACAACCCACTTGCTATAAACAGCAAGTTTGATCCATTTCAGAGGCAGTGACCAAAAGTTATGCTTCAGAGAACAGCCTCGCCTCTCAACAGTTGGTTTTATAATGACTGTGAATGTCTATCACTCAAAATTAAAAAAAAAGCAAACCACAAACAAAACCCTAAAAAACTACAACACAAAGAAACACACGAAGCACATCTGAGAAGGTCTCTACATGAAATTTAGCACTGAATATTAGAAACATAGAATCATTCAGGTTGGAAGAGACCCTTGGGATCATCGCGTCCAACCACTCACCCTACTCTACAAAGCCCTCCCCTACACCATATCCCTCAGTACCGCATCTAAACGTCCCTTAAACACATCCCTCAACCACTCAACTCCTATTTCAACAGTGCCAATTATTTAGGAACTTTATTAAACTAAGATATAACAGTCATCTTCTCTTATATCATCAAATTCAGAAGCCAGGCCTCAAAGACACATCCAAAGGTCTGTCCGTTCATTAAGTTACGGCACCGGGTACCACCCCCCGGCCTGGGTGAGCAGGAAGAGATGCCAAGCCCAAGGCGCTGCAGCGCATCCGGAGGAACCGATTTCCCTTCAGAAGAGCGCCCTGCGCGTTCTCACCTCGTCTTGAGGCGTCTCAATACACTCCCTCAGTAATAAGTTTCCCCAAACGCTTCCAACACGAGTCAGACCTGCCTCAAAACCTACTTTTGTGACTCCAACAAAGCCTCTGTCCGCAGGTTACAGAGCGGCAACCACTTCGAACCGTCCCCGGGAGCCTCGCTGCGGCCGTCACCGTTTCACAGGGCGGGCAGGAAGGGTCGGGCTCAGGCTCACCCCCTCCCGCTGCCACCTCAGCCCGGCCAGCCCTTCCCCTGCTCCAACACCGCCGGGGAAACGCCTGCCCGATCCCCCCCACAGCCCGCCCGTGCCCCGGTGTCGCCCCTCAGGGCCCGCTCCCCGCTGAGGCAGAGCGGCGGGGCCGGCGCTCCGGCCGGGCCAGGAGATGGCCGGGGTGGGGCGGGGGCTGCCCCCGGGGCGGATAACGCCTCAGGCGGCCCGCAGCCCACCTCACCCCTCGCCTCCCTCCGGGCTCCAGACCCCGCGGGCGGTCGCTGCCCGCCCCCCCCCCC